GGCGTAGGCCAACATGGCTTGTCTTAGCACTATGAGAAGCTGGGGTTCCATCCCACCCCTGTAAAGAAAACCTATCAAGACCAGAGATACCTGGCACTCAGCTTGTCAGACAGCAGGAAGTGCCAGCCTAGGGGTGGTTATCTCTGACACTGGGCATTCCTGAACACACTGGGGTCACCCAGCCAGGCTGTAAGGCAGAGGCTCTACCTCCCAACACAGGGACACTAGGATCAGGAATGGGTCTCCTGCTGACCTCACATCCAGTCACCTCACACCTGCAGCTCACCCTGCAGTGACAGGCTCAGCCTTATACAGTGCTCTCCTGCTAGGAATTTGGTGTTTTCTTCCTCATGGCTCCAGGGTCGGTCTGAAGCTGCCACAGCTGGCATGGCTGAATGGTGTGTGGGCCCTGGGCTCCATCCCTAGTACTTGGGGAAAGCAGATCCTAGGTTTGGGGCATTGGGCATTGGCTGGTCATATTTGGCTGAGGCTTCCAGGACTTAAAGTGCCATAGCCCCTTTTGTCAAAGGTAACACCCCACAGGCATTCTGGAAGTGTGGCCCCTTTTAGGGGAAGATTCATTTCCACAAAGCTCAGCAGTGTAGTAGGATGAACAAATACAAACGTCGCATTTCATTTTATTTTAGATGGAGCTTGCAAGGTTGCCCTGGCTGGGCTCAAATGACCCCCCAGGTCTGTACCACCAGTCCAGCACTGTCCCCTCATGAATTCCCATGCCAACCTGTTTGCAAACTCTTTCCCTTATAGGACGCTCATAACACCACCTCCTTTCTGCTGCTGCCGCTGGGTCTCTAGACTTTTTCTGCAGGCCACGTTGACCTCACCCCCCCCCCCCCAGTTCCATGTGCCCCAGCTTCAGGGTCTTTTTTCTTCTTTTTAAAGGGGGCGGCATATCAGTTTCACAATGACCACACTCACATAGGGTAGCCTGAAACCCAGGAGCTGGTGCCAAACTCACAAGCCCCAATCCTGCCCCAGACCCCAAATTTCTAGGATTACAAGTATGTACCACCAAGCCTGGCCATGGTTTCTGGTTTTTCAAGACAGGTCTCACTATGTAGCCCTGGAACTCACTTTGTAGACCAGGCTGGCCTTGAACTCACAAAGATAAGCCTGCCCTCTGCCTCTGCCTCTGCCTCCGCCTCCTAAGCGCAGGGATTAAAGATGTGCACCTCTATGCCCAGCTTTGCTCCAGGATCTTTAAGATACTTTGGGACACTTCAGTGATTGGGGTGAAACTCAGTGTATCACGATGCCTAGCAGCCTGCTGCACGGAGCAGAGAGGAGGGCAGAGCAGTTGTCTGGAGCCGGGCTTGGCATCATGCTTCCTCTGCAGGAGCTCAGCTGAAGTGAACATAGGTCCTGTGCTGCTTCCTTCTGCCAGGCACGGTGATTCATACACTGTCCCTACTCTTTCCAGGGTTTTCCTGCAGGGAGTGTGCCAGGTCTTGGTTGGCCTGCCCCTAGCCCAGATGCCACTGGAGGATCCCCGAAGGCAGTGGCCAAAGCTCAGCCCAGGTAGGCTGGAAAGTCTTCAATCCAGAATGGGAGCTGGGCCTGTCTTTCAAACTGCCATACACCGTATGTCCTGGGAATTCAGGTGCCCATGGTCCACATCCAAAATGCCTGTTCTTAGGAGCTGGGTCCCCTGGGGCAGTCCCTCCAGCACCTTAGACTGTTCCAGCCTCTTTGTGCATGGGTGTCCTAAGAGGAGCCTGGGTGTTCCTGAGCTCCATAAATGGGCGTCTAGTCGGGGCTGGGATCTGTGCGCAGAACAGTCTGCGGCTGCCCCAAACTCTGGCTCTGGGCAGGGACCCCAGGGACTGCCCCCCTTTCTCCTCACTACCCTGTCTGGCCCTTGCAGGCCTTCCCTCCTGTTACCTTGCACTTAAGCCTGTGTCTCTGCAGAGACTTGTCAATGATTTACCGCCAAGTTTCTGTTTCCATCAGGCAATTGTGAAGGAGGGCTAGAATGCCACCCTGACCTCCTTTGTCCCCGTCCCTCCTCCAGCCTGCTGTAACACGTACCCTTCCCCTGCCACTGTCAGCAGTCCCTCCCTGTGTCAGTGTGCCAGAAGCAGGTTAGCCATGTTACCCACAGTTAGTGAAAAAGAGCCCACAGTCCGTGCCACCCCAGTGTGGGTCCTAGAGTCCACGAAACTCTAGGAAAGCCGAGGGCCTGACAGGCTGCCACCATTAGGTGCCTGGAGCCCGTGTGGCAGATCTGGAGCTCCTGAGTATAGAAAGTTGAGAGAGCGACAGCTGTCAGCCTGAGCCGACAGGGCCCTTACTCTGCTCATACAGAGGCTACACATCCCTTTAGGAAATGGTGCGGCATGTCCTCATCCAGAGTATCTTGAGTGCTGGGGATCATGGGAAGCAAATTAGAGTTAAATAAGTGTTAAGGGGTCGTTCAAGGAGTTAAAATCTGATCATCGGGTGGTGGTGGCGCAAGCCTTTAATCCCAGCACTCCGGAGGTAGAGGCAGGTGGATCTCTGTGAGTTCAAGGCCAGCCTGGACTACAGAGTGAATTCTAGGAAAGGTGCAAAACTACACAGGGAAACCCTGCATCGAAAAAAAAAAAAATTCGTTTAGGGCCGGGCAGTGGTGGCGCACGCCTTTAATCCCAGCACTCGGGAGGCAGAGGCAGGCGGATCTCTGTGAGTTCGAGGCCAGCCTGGGCTACAAAGTGAGTCCCAGGAAAGGCGCAAAGCTACACAGAGAAACCCTGTCTCGAAAAAACCAAAAAAAAAAAAAATCTGATCATCAAGATAAACTGGGAAAGAATATTCCAGAGTCCTCAAAGGCACTGGAAGAGTGGCCAGGAATAATTCAGTGTGGTTTGAGCAGAGACAACGCAGAGGGCCAGGGTCCAGGCGAGGGCAGGTGGTGCCCATTAGTGGAGAAGGTCAGGGAAGGCCACAGCAGCAGCCCAAGCATGGCAGCATGTGTGGCAGGATTTGAAGGTGGGATGTTCTCGGTGCAGGGGAGGGGCGGCTGGAAATGGGCAGGACATTATAAGCCCTCAAACCCAGTGAATGGCTGCCCGTCCTGAGCACTCAGGCCGCTCCTTTCTTTCTCTCCTGATAGACCCCCTACAGAGACCTGGGCCCAGGAGGCCTGCAGGATGCAGGATGCCACGGATACAGTGCGCGGCCTTGTGATGGAGCTCTCCAGTCTCAAGTAAGGGCAACTCAAGTCACCAGAGAGAATAGGGAACAGAGTAGAAACTGAGGCAGGACTCTAGGTGTGGAGCACAGGGGTCTGGTGGCCCCAGCCCTGGCTGCCTTTCTCCACATTTGTGTGGTAGAATCCTGACTATCACCTCTGACCTACATGTCTCAGGCTTTTACATTCAAAGAACAGGATGTGCCTGCACCTGCTATTTGTGCACCTGTGAGAAGCCACTTGGCAGGTGTGGCTGAGACAGGCCCATGCAGTGGGGAGGCCCCAGCTAGTACTCGTTTCCCTGTCTCTTCTACAGTCGGCTGATTATGAGCACCCACCGGGACCTGGAGGCCTTCAAGCGCAAGAAAGCCAGGCCTCTGCCTTACCTGACAAAGGGGTTGGGGAGCCTTGCTAAAGGGGATGAGAGCTGGAGGGACCTGTAGGCTGCTCCAGCCTGCGAACCCACATACCCTCCAGGTCTATGGGGGGCGGTCAGCTTACCTGGAGTTCCATATGTCAGAGGCTGAGGGTACCTGAGCTTCAGGAAGTCCTCTGACAGCTCGGCCCTGCCCCAGAAGCCCAGGCTCCTGAGCTGAGCTGCAGTTCTTTCCCGCTGTTGCCGTGGACGAGAGGTGCTCTTTGCTCCTGTGCCTGTCTTTTCCCCGTGCTGTCCATGTTACTTTTGGGGAGGCAGGAATAAATGATACAGTCAAGAGCCTGTGATTTGCAGCTGTGGTGGCCATGTTCCCAGTCCCTATGTTCTGCCCACAGACCACTCCAACCTCAACTTTCCTGCAGCTGCCTTCTCTTCCAGTTCTTCCTTTCTCCACCTGCAGAAGGCTAAGTGTAGGGCTAGCCAGAACCACTCCTGCCAGAACACAGGTCGGGGGCTCCCCACAGCTCAGTGTCCCAAGTTTCTAGGATGGTGGCTGTGTGCACATGGGAAATACATCCATACATAGATGGAGGGCACAAAGCCGCCCTGGAGTTGTTACAGCCAAGTTTCTAGGCAGGGTGAGATCCGATCACCCATCTCACCCCACAACTGCCTCTGGACATGACAGTGTTCAGCTGTGCCAGGGGTAGTCATCCTGTTTGCAGAAATACATGCCTAGGTTGGCTCAGACCTCAACTCTCACAGCAGAGGCAGGGCCTCCCCATTCAGCCCCTTTATGGGAAAACCCTGTGGAGGAGGCTGTGACACAGGCAGGGTTGTGACTGGAGGCGACAGCTGTCCCTAACCCTACTAGTCCCTCCCCCATCTCTGGGCTGAGACTCTGGTTGGTGCTTTGGGTTGTTCAAGGAGCTGCTGCTGCCCCAATGCCACTCGCAGACCCAGGACTACTAAGGAGCCCCCCTCCCTGGCTCCCAGCCCACCCCAGGCCAGGAACAAAGGGGTCCCTAGAAATCCAATTCCTGCCCCAACCTCAGCACCAGAAGATATGGGCTGAGGGTGAAGCCTCAGGCCAGTTAATGGAATCCAGGCAGTGCTCTCCTCAGCGCCCCACAGGATGTGGAGCTGAAGGAGACAAAGGGGTGGTGACCCACAGAGTGGAGGCAGCCTGTCCCTCAAGTCCTGTGCACCTTCAGTGCCAAGGGGAGGCCCCTGTTTTGCATATCAGTATGCACAGGGTGGCTGGGGGTTTAAAACCTCACAGCTGCCCTCATGCTCCTGATTCAGCTCCTCAAGGTGACCCCAAGATTCAAAGAGCAGTCTGTTGGGTGGGAGGTGACCAGGAGTGAGCTGTGGTCTGTAATGCAGAAGCATCCCTGCTAGCCAGATCCACACCACCTTGTCCCAAGACCAGGCTCCACTCCTCTCCATTTATTGGGTACTGATCCAACAACACAAGACTGGGGTAGGGGAAGGGCAAGCGATTTCTAACAAGCCTGTGGCCAGCCTCAGAGTCCTAAGCAAGTCCAGTCTCCAGCATGCCTGTGTCCAGACCCTTGGCAAGGGTACCCCATGGACCTCCCCACTCCGAGCTCCTAGGCCGTAGTGGAGGGACTGCAGGCCGAAGGTGAAGGTCCAGAGGGCTTCCTGCCACTTTTGGAACCTGGAGGTTGAAAGCAGAGGAGAGAAATGCTGAAATGAGGGGCTCAGATGGCTGAGCGGGGTACTCATGGTTGCACCTAGGGCTTCCTGGGCTGCTTCGCCACCTGGTGGCCACACCTGGGATTGTCATCCCGGGACCCAGAGCAAAAGCACAGAAATGCTGCTCAAATGATGGTGGTGTCCCTGCCAGGCTGCAAGGGACCTTGCATTCCTTACACCTAGAATGCAATGCTCAGCTTGCTGTGACAGTATGCTGGCGAGGGCACCCTCCAGTACCAGGGAGGTGTTCCTGTCCCTTCAGAATTCAGAGATCATCTCTAACACACACACACACACACACACACACACACACACACACACCCCGCCCATTGCTAGCTTCTCAGGACCGAGTCCCTTTAAGACTCCCACTGGGAGGAATAGGGCTGTGGTGCAAAGGCCCTGGGGTCCATTTCCACATCACACCAACACCATAAAACTCTTAACAGGCACCACGCGTGGTGGTGCACACCTTTGATCCCAGCACTCAAGAGCCAGAGGCAGACAGATCTCTGTGAGTTCAAGGCCAGCCTGGTCTACAGAGCGAGTTCCAGGACAGGCTCCAAAGCTCCACAGAGAAACCCTGTCTCAAAAAATACAAAAACCGGAGGGGGGAAAAAACTCTAACAGGCAGGCATGGGAGTTCATGTCTGCTCCAGCAATAGGGAGGCTGAGGCATGTTCTTTCAAGTCCACCCTGAGCTAAACGGAGAGACTGTCTCAACAACAAAAAACTTCCAAAGACTAGGATCCTCACCTGAGTTCCACTGCAGAGTTAGGGGAGACAGCCCAGTGCACTGCCACCCTCTAGGCGCTCCCAGAGCACCCAGGGAGACAGCCCAGTGCACTGCCACCCTCTAGGCGCTCCCAGACCGCCCAGGGAGACAGCCCAGTGCACTGCCACCCTCTAGGCGCTCCCAGACCGCCCAGGGAGACAAGCACACAGCCGACAAGGAGCCATGGTGAGGCAGCCAGGTGTCCACCCGAGTCTCCTTCAGTGTCCCACCCTCAAACTTTCGTATCCCTCCTGAGGCCTCACAGCAACTGAGGCCTGCAGAGCTATTGGACAGGCAAGCACCTGCTAGCCCAGCATTTTGCAGGACAGCTTGAGCTCCAAAATAGAGTGCTGTCTCAAAAAAACAAAACAAAACAACAAAAAACCATACATATACACATTCGTCTCAAAAAAGAAAAAAAAAAAAACAGCAGCAGGTAGGAGCTAGCTTACCAACAACCAGCACCTTTTGCAGAGGACCCACGTGGTTCTCAGCACCCATGTGGCCACTCACAAGCAGCTGCGACTCCAGTTCCAGGGTTTCTCATACCTCTTCTGGACTGCTCACAGGTGGTACACAATCATACATGCACGCAAAACATCCACACACGTGAAATAAAATTATCTGCATCTCTTGAGGACTGGTGAAACGGACCAGTGGGTAAAAGGGAGCTTGTGGCCAAGCCTGACCATCTGAGAATCTCTGTGAGTTCCAGGCCAGCCTGGTCTACAGAGGGAGTTCCAGGACAGCCAGGACTGTTACACAGAGAAACCCTGTCTCAAAACAAAAAATAACAGCCAGGCATGGTGGCGCACACCTTTGATCCCAGTGCTCGGGAGATAGAGGCAGGCGGATCTCTGTGAGTTTGAGGTCAGCCTGGTCCACAGAGCGAGCTCCAGGACAGCCAGGATTGTTACACAAAGAAACACTATTTCAAAAAAAAAAAAAACAAAAAAACCTAACAACAACAAAAAAACCCAAGGAAAAAAAAACAGCTGGGCACGGTGGCGCACACCTTTAATCCCAGCACTTGGGAGGCAGAGGCTGGTGGATCTCTGAGTTGGAGGCCAGCCTGGTCTACAGAGCAAGCTCCAGGACAGTCAGGGCTGTTACACAGAGAAACACTATCTCAAGAAAAACAAAACAATATAAAGAAAGAATAAACAGGAAACACTAGGGCACCCTGAAGTGTTTCCTTCTGAAATTTGCCTCTGAAATCCTGGTGCATTAGCATGGAAACCATAAAAACTTAACAGGACAGGGAGGTCTGGCTCTCTAGTTAAAGAGTGCTGGCTGCTCTTCCAGAGGACTAGGATTCAATTCCTAGCACCCACATGGCAGCTTCTAACCATCTATAACTAATTCCAGGGGATCCCACACCCCCTTCTGAAGCGCATGGGCACATGCAGGCAAACCACCCACACACTTAAAATCCATGAAAACCTTTTAGTTTCAGGTGCTTAGGCCTGAAGGTGGAGGGTGGTACTCTGCATTTGTGGGGGAGATGGGGGAGGCCCCCACACTGTAACAGCACAGACCCACCAAGCAAGTTCCTACGGGGTCCAACTGCAGTCTCTCCATCTGCCCCCACTCCTGCCCTGCTGCCTTGAGGTTCATGACAGCCATGGGGCTCAGGAACCCCTTGGTCCTGGTCTGACACTCCTGCAGAATTCTTTAAGCCTTCTTGCTGTGTTTGTGGCGGAGGTCAGTGGACAACTTGAAGGAAATCAGTTCTCTCCTACCACGTGGATCCCAGGGATCAAACTTGGGTCTTTAGAATTACAGACAGTCCCTACCCATTGAGTCATTGTGCTGGCATAGCACCCCAAACTTACTTTTTATGGTTCTGATTGGGGAGCAAACTCAGAATCTCCTACACACTATGCACGAGCCCTAACTCCGAACTCCCTAAAGTGACACCCCAAAGACCTAATGATTTCTAGCCACCCCATAGCACACACCCTTACCCAGTCACACTGAACTTTATGATAGTTTACAAGAAGGCCCAGTCCACACTTCCCACCTCCCACACCGGAACTGAAGGAATTAAGACTCCTAGAAGTCACCTTCTCCAGGAAGTCCTGGGACCCCCTCATCTGAGCCAAGTGCTCCCCAATTCAGCACTGGCTTAACTGTCACTCTCCTGTACACCTTGTTCACTACTAACCCGGCACCCAGTGCAGAACAGACATGAAAATATTGTTTGGCAAATGAATAAATGGTTTCAGGATTCAGAAGGGATTTAGCAGCTTCCCCCAAACTTCACAACTCCTGATCCCCAAGCAGAAACCAGAGTTCACAACTGCACCCCACAACATCTGACTGCCACTGTATGCCTGGGTTGCTCAGAGAGGGAGAGTGACTTGTGAAAGACCACACAGCAACGTAAACCCCACTCCCGAGCTATGCTCTACACACTTTCAGAATGCTCTCAGCCCTACACAGTGGGTTGCTTAGTTTCCTAGATACTGGCATCACACACACACACAAACACCCCAAAGAGCTGAGAGTCTAGAATGGGTCCCTTCTCCACCCAGTCCCTAAACCACCCGCAAAGACACCTGTTGCTGTTTCTCCTCCTGGGCGGTGGCCAGCATCCTGGGTCTTTGCCTTGTCAGGCCGGGTCAGCTTTTTGCCTGCAGAGTTCCGGGTGGTGTAGCAGTAGACAGAAGTGTAGCCCTGGCCGGTGAGTGGGCAGAAGCGTCGAGTGTGGGCGTGCTCCTGAGTGGCCCCACATTGGGGACACACATAATCCCTCAAGATGGGACACAGCACCCGGCCCGCCTCATCTTTCAGGACGTGGGACTGATAGATGGCCCGGGACTCGCCATTGTGCTTGCAGAACGAGCACAAGCGTTCAGGAGCTGTTGAGGATTCCTTGCTGGCTTTCCGGCTTTCTGGAATGGGCTTGGGCTCTGGCTTGGGGTCCAGCCTGACATCAGGCACCTCTTCCTCATGCAGAGCCCCCACCAGGCTTGCCAGACCCAGGTAATCTGTCCACAGATTGAAAGTCCCCATGACTGGGCGGAGGAGCGGCTGAAGGAAAACACTGCCTGGCTCCTGCTTCCCTCCGACCCTGACACTAAAGCTTCTCCTGCTGCTTTTCTATCTTGAGGGGATGTGAGAGGGTGGAGCAGGCAGACTCTGGGGGGTCCCTCATTATCACTGGGGGCTTCTTACATACCTGCCCAGGGGGTATATGGTGTTTGTGTGGGCTGGAGGTAGACTAGGAGCCACTGAACCCCCAGGCTTCCCAGGGTCTCCTCCCCCTCCATGTGGGAGGTCAACCCTTGCAGGCCAGCTAGGTGAGAGGCAGGGGGATGGCTAAGAACACCGCCCCAGGGCCAAACACTTATATTGATTTACTAATTTGTTTTATCTTCCTTCCTCAGGGCTGGGGAAGGGTCCTGGTGGCCTTGAGTCCTTGTTACGGCAAATAATGCAAAATCCCAGTACTTCGGAAGGGGGCCTGTGCATGGGAGACAAGGGCTGGGTCCCAAGGCTCTGTCTTCACTGAGGGCCTTTCATGCCCACTCCAGTGGCTGAGAACTTAGTCATGAAGCGTGGAGACAAAAAGAAAGGGCAGGACTGCTCCTAAGGGGCTGAGGAGGTTTACTGTAGATAAAAGGGACAATATAGGCAACATTCAGCAGAGTCTAGAGTGGATATGACCAGTAGACTGAGCCAGGTCATGTGGGGAGAGGGACAGAAGGGAACCTGGAATGGGCGGCCAAGAGGCCAAAAAAAAAAAAAAAGGTGAAAAGACCATATAACCAAAGCGGCGGCGGGGTTATGAAGGAACCAGAAAAGCTGGGGAAAGGGCAAGCCCAGCCTGAGTATGCCAGCCAGAAGGACCCTGTAACAGGCAGGGACTGAGGGATGCTGGGAGTACTCAGCAGCCAGTGTCAGCTTTGATATGCTAATAGACACCTCAGCTGTTTGTCCTGGGCTACAGAGTGGAGTTCCCAACTCTCCCTCCTACAGTTAGCTCAGCAGCCTCAAGGTTGGGGTCTGGGAGCCCCAAAGGACGGGAAAGAGCCCCCAAGCACAGGCAGGCAGGCTGCATCCCAGCATATGCCAGCTCTCTGATTCCCAACACTACCTGTCAGAGGAGGCCTCAGCCTGAGCTCCGAAAGGTGCTTGGTTGGGGGTCACCACTGGGTAGGGCACACTTCCACCCCACTAGTCCACCAGCCTACCCATCTGTCTGTCACAAGCCCATCTACCAATTCACCCATTCCAGAAACCTCACTGAGAAACATCCATCCTTTCAGGAATGGGTTCTGCCCGCGGAGGCCCCACTTTATGATCCCCCCCCAACATCTAATCCTCCAGGGTTTATTTTCTAATTCCAATCTGCCCATCAGGATCCCAGACACCAATCCATCTCCGCAAGGGGAGCAAGAATTTGGGGTTTCTAAGGGGTCCTGTCCTTATCCCTGGGACTGTTGTGTGGGCCAGCCACAGTGACATTCATCCCCCCGGTGGGTCTGACCTCCTCCTCACAACCCACCGACAACAATGAATGTTGATTGTGACCTTTGCTGTGGCCTGGGGGAGGGGATGCCAGGCTGCCTGGGGGGATCTCCCAGATCTAGAAGGTGGGGATGGTGATGGGGTAGACGGCAGTTCCAGGCCTCGGGGTCCACTCAACGGTCGATGGTTTGTCTGAGCTGCCCAAACTCACCGACAGGTTGAATGTTCCCCCAAACCCTTGGCAAGTTTCTTGGAGAACTGGAGTGGGGAGTGGCCCGGATACGAAGTAGGAATCATGGAGGGTGATGAGAAGCCAGGATCCCTCTGACTCTCATGAAACCAGCCATTGTTATTCGGCATCAACTGTCCTTTTGGAGACCCAGGAGAAGCAGAACAAATACAAATCATAATGTAAAAAACGTGGCCCTGCCACAGAGGCAACAAGGTGCCTGTCTGAATTCATGTACTTTCTTCAAGGGATGCCAGTAGTGGACATGACATCCCAGGCTAAATTGTTCCTGGTGAGGGCTAAGTAGTGAGATAAAAAATAAAATCTACCAAAGCGGGCCTGAGGTGCAGATCCCCCCCCCCCAGTAGTTAGTTGGGGAAACTGAGGCCAAAAGAGCACAGAGGAGGGACATTTCTAACCCCCCTGGGAAGTCTGGCAGCCACCAGGTTCTGGTCTGGGAGGGTCAGAGACCACTGAGCCGTAAACAAGTTCCTTTAACAATGTAACGGGCAAGCTTGATTGTGGGATAAATAAGGCTTCAATACATTGTAGACCTTCTTGCTTTCCCATGGTCTCTAAGCTTGTTTCCTCCTAAGCCCACCTCCACCCTTCCCAGCCGAACAGTGAGCGGGGGAAGAGGAAGGGGGCACTGCCCTGCCCGTCCCCACCTCCTTCCTGAGACTCTCTCTTTCTCTCTCTCTCTCTCTCTCCTTCTCCCCCCCCCCCCCCCCAAGGCTTCTCAATGGTCTAAAGAGATGACAGGATTTCTTAGGCCTTTTGGCTAGGGGTGGAGCATCTGCCCACGTGGGCAAAGGCCTGGGCTCTTCACCCATGGCGCTGCCAACTTTGCTTTACCTGAGCTCCTGACACTTCAGTGAGGGGAGTGATTACCCTCAGGAATCTCCTGAGCTCACACAAGACAGACCCGGAGCACCAGGTGTAACCATGCTTCTGTGAGACCCAGTAACTCTGGCAGAGACAACACCAGCCTATGCAGCCCCAGGCCACAACCCCAGACTTGCCCTCAATTCAGGCCTCTGCCAGGGTCCCTAGGACCCTCCTGCAAGCCGGTCCTTCTAGATCTAGAAGATCTCTAGACCTTCTAGAGAGCTTAGGCCCCACCCTGTCTAGCACCTCGGTATGCTTCCAGAGCACCCCCAGAAGAAGTCCCCTAGAAGCTCAGCTCTTCCTAAGGTCCACCCCAACCCGTAGACCCAAACCAGGCCCCAGAAACCAGCGGGACTCAGGACGCACTCCCACCTGGTAAGGCCCACTTCCCAGGACTGGTCACATTCCCACCCCTGAGGCTGGCCAGCAGCCCCCTTTGAGGCCAGGGGCTGGGGGCAGCCCTTCGTGGGAAAGACGTGTCTCCTGCCTTGGACACTCTCGGCCCTGAAGAGGTCCGGGCTTAGATGTCAGAGGAAGGTGAGGGGCTTTGTACAGATCGCCACTATACCCCTGGGGAAGGGGTCGCGGCGAGTTCAGAACAGTTTTTAGGGGGTTCCAGAAAGCTAAAATGGATGTTTACGAGGCACACAAGACACTCTGGGCAATGCGGGTCATCTTGCAGACACCCTTCTTTTATCCTCTAAGTCCACTCTGCTTACTTGCCCTTCGGAACTCGGATTTTATCTTAAGCAATGGGAGGTGTCCGCTATGGGCATTCCCAGCAGGACAGCAAGCCTGTGGGAGTCTGGTCTGGGGGGCGGGGCGGGGGCGGGGCGGAGGCGCCCGGCCCCGCCCCCCCGTCTCTTTGTCTGCAGGCGTGGTGCGGGCTTCCCGCCCTCTGTGTCTGTCTGCGCTCGCTTGCCCTTTGTCAGCGGGGGTCGCCTGTCTGGGTCTGACTGCATCCTTCCTGCGACTGTGTGTCTGCCCCCTTCTCTTCCCGGTGCGGGTCCGTGAGGTTGTTAGCAGCCATGCCCCCTGGTGTGTGGGGCTCACAGCCCTGACCTGAGTTCTGGGCTGGAGGCTGATCGCAGACTTCCCGCCACGTGTCTGCCAGCCTAGGGTGCTTAGGCGGGAGGTTTGACTTTGAAGTCCCTTAGGGTGGGGGTGGGAAACTGTCTCCTCCCATCCCCAACCCCAGGTCCTGCCTGCTACAGGGGGCACCGCAGCGGGGAACGTCTGTCTGTGAGTGACCTGGGTGGGCCCTGCCCCGCTCTCTCTGAGCAGCAAAAAAGCTGGGCAGCTGACTCGCGTCCTAGAGGTCAGGGTGAGGTGAAATGCCCAGCCAGATGGGGCTAGCTGTACCATCAAGGGGAAGGAGTGGTGGGTGGGTCAGCTGTCTGCTGTAGAGCGCTCCTGTGGTCTGCAATGTTCAGTGAGCAATGCCTGTGTGTAAGTCTGTGGGGCAGAAGGGAAGAGGTAGGACCTGGAAAACGGAGAGCTCATTAGAGGGCGTCTCCGTGGGGTCACACTGACGGGGTCACATTGATGGTCCAGGCTGGCTAGACCTCCTTTTAGCCACACTTACAAGGCTTCCCTCCCAAGCTTCTCCAGTGCTTCCCAGATACTCAGGTCTCTCATGGGGGGACTCACAGAAGCTCCTGTGTCCTACCCAGCCTGTGGGCAGTGGGTAGGCCAAAAACCCAAAATTCTAGGCTGGCTGGATGGGAGGCCAAGGCTGTGGATGAGAGGGGTCTGGCTTCTCCTGGGTTGGGGGCTATGATGAAGGGCTGATGGGAACTCCAGACACTCTTCTGAACTTCTGAAGTTCAAGGTGCAGGGTGGTCCTGGGTATGCATCAAGGTGGGCTGTCCTCACAAAATCTTACATCTGCTTTACACACCTGTTAATGGGTTAGTAGGGAATTTTCTGCTCTAAGCCACTCTGGAGCTCAGTGGGGGGGGGGGAGAGTGTGTGTGCGTGCCATATTGGGTGGTGCTACTAGTGTGTGTGTGAATGTATGCACTTCCATCCTGTGGGCTTGTTTATGTGTAGACGTCAGTATTATTGTAGGTGGGTGTGTCGAGTGCCGGTCTAATTGCAGGTCGATGTGTGAACAGGTGTATGTGGGCAGATGGGGTTTGTTAGAGTAACTGGGTGACTGCAGCCTGTCAGCAACAGCATCCCCCAGGCCCAGCCCCACTGAAATAACAGCTGTTTTAAGGCAGGGGATTTACTCTGAGTCACAGGTGTGTCCCCAGAGCCAGCTGCTGCCTGGTACACAACAGCAGCTCAGTTAAGTGTTGCTGGACATGGTGGCTGTTGAGACCTGTCACCTCTGTACTTATTCACAAAAGCCTGAGGTCACCTAGTGAGAACCTATCTTAAAAAAAAAAAAAAAAGGCTGGGCGGTGGTGTTGAACACCTACAACCCCAGCACTCGGGAGGCAGAGGCAGGCGGAACCCTGTGACTTTGAGGCCAACCTAGTCTATATATAGGGAGTTCCAGTCTGAACAAGGTTTCACATAGTGAGACCCTGTCTCAGTAACAACAATTTTTTTTTTTTTTTTTTCCGTTTTTCGAGACAGGGTTTCTCTGTTGTAGCCCTGGCTGTCCTGGAACTTGCTCTGTGGACCAGGCTGGCCTTGAACTCAGAGATCCACCTGCCTCTGCTTCCTGAGTGCTGGGATTAAAGGTGTGCACCACCACCACCCGGCTTAACAAAATATTGAGCTTTTGAATATCTGTGTAGCTCCACCTCTGTGTGTCTTTCCCTGTGGGTCTGTGTATCTGTGTATGCATGTAATCATCGATGTCTTCAGTATCCATGTGTAGAATGAAAGCATTAGGGTAGGTGACTGTGGATGTAAGTTCCAAGGGTTTTGTTGGTTTGTGTTTGTTTTGACATCGGGCACCAAACCCTAGGGCCTTGTCATTATGCCAGGTTAGTACACTGCTTTAACACTGAAGGCACACCCCAGCTCACTAGTTATTTTGATTTTTGTGGAGGTTTGTTTGTTTTTTGTTTGAGACGGGGTCTCCCAATGAATCCCTGGTTGGCCTGGAACTCACTGAGATCTGCCTCCTGAGTACTGGGATAAAAACTGCTCCGGTGGCGTTTGCCTTTAATTCCAACACTCACGAGGCAGAGGCAGGTGAATCTCTGTGACTTCAAGGCCAGCCTGGTCTACAAAGTGAGATCCGGGACAGGCTCCAAAAGCTACACAGAGACCCTGTCTTGAAAAACAAACAAACAAACAAAAACTGCTCCAATACATCTGGCCTCCTTTTCTTTTCTTTTTTTTAAAGACAGCCTCTAAATTGCCCAGGTTGGCCTCAGATTCACTCTGTAGCCCAAGCAGGCCTTGAGCTTCCCTCTGTCTCAGCCTCCCAAGGGCTAGGAAGACAGACCTGTCGCCACGTCCTGCTCCATACGGAGTTATGGCTTTATGGGTGACTGTCTCTGTGGGTGTCTGTGTCAACATGCATACCTGTGTTCTGGTGACTGGATTGCTGGAACCTGCTCGGGGCTCATATGAGGGTGTCCTTATTTGGAAGTGGGTTTGTGGACCATCCTGCACCTGTGGTTGCCAGTTATTCTGGGTATGTGAGTGACCAGGTAGGGTGAGCACCACTAGTGTGTCCCTGCTTTGTCCTACCCTCCACTGGGAACTGCTCCTCTGCAGGGGTATTTCGCAGCCTTTGTGGTGCAGTGTGCATGGGTGTGGGTGCTGTGGTTGACTATGTGCTTAGGATATAAGATTATTAATGGGACAGTGTGTGTCTGTGTCGCGCTGTGTGCCTTTTAGGACTTTGTCTGATGACTTGAGACTAATTTTGGTTTGGCAAGTGCGTCTGTGAGCGGTGGGGGATGGGTGGGACGGAGATGGGGAACCCAAGTGTGATGGGGTACTTTCTCAGCCCCCAGTTAGCCAGAGATGTGGCTTCTGCAGCCCCCAGCCCCAGCATGCATGCCCTCCGGGGCGAGGTCCCCAGGAAAGGCGCCCGGTCGCTTTAAAGCTAGAGCTCCTCAGCAGAGTGATCGGGGCCATCTTTCCTTTCTGCGGCCACTTTTGGAGGGCGGGTTCCAGGCGGCAAACCTTGTCCCCCGCGATCACCGTGCAGATGCGGTCCGTGCCCCCGGCCGGAGGCGGCCTCCCGCCCCGCGCCCCGAGAACAAAGCGCCCCGGCCCCGCGCCCCGGTCGGCCCGGCCCAGGCGCTCGCGGCCGTGTCCCGGTACAGGCGGCGTCCCGGGCCGCACGGCCGGGAACAATGGAGGCCTCGGCCGTGGCCGTGACCGGCAGGTGCGCCCCCCGCCCCGGCCCGCGCTCACCTCGTCTCCGCCGCTGCAGCGCCCTCCGCTCCGCCAGGGCCCGGGAGCCCGCCCGGCCGCCCGCGCGGGAAGGCACCGAGCGGTTCGAACCCGCGGCCACGCGCCCGCGCCCCCGAGGCCCCCGCGCGGCGCCGGCCGGTGGGTCCAGCTGCGGCCGTGCGCGCCCCGGGCCGCCTGCAAAGCCCCCGCGCTGCAGGCTGCGGCTGGCGGGGGACTCGGGGCGCGGGCAGGGACCCGGGCTGCACGCAGCCCTCCAGGCGCGGCGGGAGCACGCGCGCACAAAGGCACGCGGGCCACAGACAGAGAAGGTGCGCGGGGGCCTTGGGGCGTACGCCTGCCGGACGAAGGGGGTGGCGGCCACACACGTAGGGATACCTGGGAGCGGCAGACGCCACTTTGAGGGACAGCACGAAATGTTCTTAGAACTGAATATGC